TTGCATTAAGTTTGAATTATGCATTTTTATTTGAACTTCTTTGGCGACGTTTTTCCATTTTACTACATTTTCTTTTCCTTTTTTCGATTCGCCTTCCGCCGCGTTTTCTTTGCCCTTTCCGATTGGAACGGGTATTTATTTAATGGCTCATACTTTTTGCCACAGCATGCAGCAAAGCAGAGAAGAGGTGTGCTTTCCCAAGGATTTTCCGGGGGGTGGAGAGGGGGGGACTTGGCTTTAATCCACGGCTCGATACCTGGCCATAACTCACAGGTGCACATGGCACGGGCCAAATGAAATGAAATAATGAAAACAATTTCAACGCTCGTGCATTGAACTGCAATCGAGGGGGGCGGAAAAGCAAAGCACTAGCAGAGCAAAAGCAAAAGCAAAGAACAAACAAAACTCTCCTGGCCAAAGACCTATTAGTTATGCTACATGGGTTTTATGGGTCTTAAGACTTAGCCACCGCCGGACAATTCAGACACGAACAGCAAAAACAGCAGAAAACCCAGAAATACCAGCACAAGCTGAAGAAAATGAAAAAAAGAAGACAATCTGGACTCAAGTAAACGAAGGAAGGCCCTGCCTTTGAGTTGAAAATCTATCTGTTTTATGGCTCAAAAAATGAATACAAATAATATTATATAACTCTTATGGTCGCAAAACGATGAAAACATTTTTAAGAGATTTTAATTAGGTTATTTATCTTTATCGTTTGCACCCACAATTTTTTATATATTTTATAAATTTTATTATTTAAGATCTTACTAAGAGTGGCAGAAATTGTTATATCAGATCATCATTTGAGTCATCGTTGGATTTTATTATCGACATTTAATATTATGCCCAAAATAATGGTATATATCATTTTGGTTTCGATATATAGTAAATATTTGAAGGCCTGCATGGTTTTTTCTAGCTACTTTTAAGTATTTTCCAGGCCATCCTTACAGCAGGATTCACTGCTCGATTTAGTTATCTATTTTTGAGCAACACTGCGCTGGTCAGAAAACGAATTGGGTACGCTTTTGTTGGGTCGTGTGCCACCTGATCCCTTCGATTAAAATCTTCCCCTGACCCCTTCATTATTTAGACGGTTTATGGCAATCCGTGATTGCACATAAACTTACCTTTTGATGATGTCCGGCCAAGGCAAACTTTAATTTGCTTTTATGCTGCCGCTATCCTTGTATGCGAAAGGTTAATGGTTGTTTAGAAAAACCTGGAGACCTTGAAATTAGTTGTCGAAACTTTCTGCAGAACAATGGATGTTAGGAAATTGCATGGCAAGAAGTTATTTTAGAAACTCCAGGGATTTCAATTTAATGGTTTAGACGTCCAAAGGGGTGGTACATAATTATTTACTTTATAAAACAATCGGCAAAAGCAAATGGTTTTTCCAAAATTAATTCTAGTAAAATCACAAATCTATGCCATAGAAAGAATCGGGAAAAATTGAAATAAAATTATAGCTTCATTGTTTAATAACATAGGGTAACAAAGGATATATAAACTAAGGCTTGGCAAAATTTACTTTGTTTTTTGTTGAGTACTAAAATAAAATTGTCTCAATTTTCGGCTACTAAACTGTAGTTTTGAATGTACATACGTGAAATATCATGTTCTTGGCGTTTGTGTCCCTTTTGAGTTGGAGCTTTGTTTTTCACATTATTTGTCAATTTCCTTTGGGGCGTGCATTTGTCCCCGTCTTTTCGCCTTGCTGCTCTCTTTGTGGCAATCAAAACTTCAATGCAAATTATAAGAAATCGCTGGCATCTTCATCTCTGGCTTTATCCCGGCGAATCCTGCCATGTCCTTGTCCCTTTTGGTTGTTGCCTTCTAGCTGGGTTTCCATTTCCGCAAAATGTCACGTACAGCGCGCAACATGTCCAAACATGCAACAAACTAAATGTTTCGCTTTAAAGCGTCGTGGCTCCATATCCATCCTCCTTTGCATCCTCGGATCCCCATCCACATCCACATCCCCATCCCCGACTTCCAAAGGACACAGCAGGCCATCAGGAGAGCGCCGGAAGCGCTGGCATATTCGCAAAAAGGACGAAAAGCGGAGGAGAAGTCGAGGAAAACGGAACTTAAGGCTATATACATATGCCTCCATTGCAACTGGAGACTGGGTGGATCGAAAGCTTATAGGGCTGGAAATGGGCATTTTAACTACTGATTGGGAAGAATCGAAAAAATGGCTCAAAATGGATCACTTATGTATGTATTTTTCAACTATTTTATTGATAAAGCTACTTAGTAGTATCATCAGAAAAAATATAATTTTTACCTTATCAATTACAAAAGTCTGATCTATTATTACTTAATCAAAATTCCTTTTTATTTTAAATAATTAAATGGTTCGTAGTAAATCTCTTTCACTTTAAATGGCTAAGGCTATTGGCGATTTATGAGATACTTTTTAATCACACTCCCTTTAATGTCAAAATCGAGGAATGTCCTTTTCTTCTCCTGCCCTTGCCTTTACCTTGTTACTTTCTTTGTTCCCCTTTCTTTTTTTTTTTTTGGTAGTAAGGGGACAGTGCTACTTTGTGCCGTCAAATGTCAGCCGCCCGCGAATCGGCCACGCCCACAGCTAGAAGGGGGCGTGACGTCATTGCTGGTGATGAGCAAAGGAAGCAAACTGAAAAATCGGAGAAAAAATAAAGTTACACATTGCTTTCCATTTTGCAACACACTTGAACATGCTTTCGCACTTAGACGAATGCGTGAAGGGTAATGAGGGGGGTGCAAGTGGGTGGGTGGGCGCAGTGTGTGGTGTGTAGTGTGGTGTGAGTGATATGCATTCCACCACCCACCACCACCCTACAATTCAAGTGTGCACTTTACACGCCTACTAGGACTCATATTACTTACTTAGTTTGCGTTTTACTCTTAATTAAGAAGACAGAAAAATCAGAAGGGGCGGCTTGGTGACCCTTAAAAGGGGCTGGTGACCCAACACGAGTGGATTCAGTTATATTCGATAGTTACTTAATTGTTTTATCAAAAAATACATTGACATTTTCGGTTTGTAGATTTTCTATTGTAACCAAAATTCCCTTTGTTAAAACTTAAAATAATCCGAAAATATTATAGACTTCAATTATTTGAAAACTACTTACCTACTCACATTTCGTCCGCCTTAATTGAATCTCTTATACACTCAAAAAAAAGGCATTCAATGTATTTAATAAATAATTCCTTTGACAGAATTTTTGGCTTAAGCTGAGATTAAAGAACAATCTGGGAGTTTTTGGCCCCAAGACAACTTTCTAATGGCCGCGAGCGCAAAAAGGAAATTTACATCAAACCATAATCGATTTAGTTTGTTTTCCTCGCAGCAAGGACACACAGGAGACCCGGGAAAATGGGTCCACCTCCGGGATAATGACACCCCCTCCCGCAAATCCGATGTTATGCCAACTGTAAGATGGCCCCAAAAAAGTGGACCCAAGGTGAACGCAAAGCAATGCACGGCCTGCCAGCTGAAAATTTAATTACATCACAATGGCAGAGGGGTGGAAAATTGTCCAGCGGGGGGAGCTGATAGGAATATTTTCCAGGGGGGGTGGGAAAAACAGAGGCGTGGCAGCGAGTCCGAGCCAAGACAGCGCCACATTTTCCACATTAACGAAATGCTTTTAATTGTGCACTTAACGCTCGTAAAATGTGATTTAATAGTTTCGGCGAATGCCAAAGGGCAGGACACGAAAAAGGACAGGGGCGACGGAGGGGTTTCTTTTCCTTTTTTTTTTTTTTTGGGTGGCGAAGGGGGAGGGCTGCGGCGAATGTCCTTCGTCTGGGCAGCGACGGAAGCGGAAGTGGAAGTTGAAGTTGGCTGCGTTATAAGTTGGCGCAGTTCCTATTTAACCGCAGCACAAGCACACACTGCTAAACACTCGGAGAAAACTGGACCACAAAAATCATGATAAGTAACTAGGTTCAACATAAAATTATATTAATATTTTTTGTTTTAAATTAATCCTTAATAAAAAGGTCGAATAAAATAAATACTTAAAATAATTTAATTAAATCTCTTGATATTTATATTTAAAATATATATTTAAATACAATTTTATTAACAATTGTATGAGTAATGAGTAAATAAAAAACTGTAACTGATTATACAAAATAATCCCTTTTTTTACCAGATTTTATCTTGAAATTGTTTTTTGGATTAAGAATGTAGCCATAATATTATAGTAAATAAATGATTTTTTTCAGTGCAATTAGACTCACACAATTACAGACAGCTGACAGTCCAATTTGGGTCTGCATAGGTGCGAGCAATCGGGGACTCCATCTCGATGGGAACTCGGAACTCGGAACTGGGAACTCGGAACTCCGACGCCTGACTTTGGGAAATTCCCCTGCCGTCGGCTGGCAAACAATAAAAGCCAAGGGCTTGTGCTTTGTTCACACTGTCGACATGAAGATGAGGGGGTGGAGCTGGGGCTGGGGGTGGATGAGGATGAGTATGACGGGCTTGCTGAGCTGAAATCAATACGAACTGGGTCACCAAATGGGTCCCTGTGCGGTCACTTAACCAGGAACCAGGCACTCAGTCCCCGGTGGCCAACAAACAGGCAGCATGTCGGACAACTGTCGACCAGGAGCAGGACATCGGGTGGGATCTGGTGACACGGTGCAAATAAGCCCCAGATCCTGGAAAGTTCACCTTAGTTTTGACTGACATTTCGGATGAGAAAAAATTTAAGCCGACAATTGCCACTTCACTATGGTACTTATAAGTGATTTACCACTTATGCGATTTAATGCTCAATTAAAATATTTAAATGTTCTTTGCTGAACGGTGACTCTATACTCAAAACATAGACTTAGTAAAACAAATTTTTATTATTGGTTTTAGCCAAGTTTTAGCAATTTTACTAAGCGAATTTCGAAATGTTGAAAAAAAGATATCAAAAATGGTATAACATTTCATGAAATTAATATCTTTAAATTAGTAGTCAAAATTAAGACACCCAGAATGATGGTTTATATAGGGATGTATATTTCTAGTTAAAGTTGACGCCTTACGACTTTGAAAGCGGACATAATCTGCTCGCAAAAATGCACATCCCAAGCGATTCGGGTAGATCATCATTTAGTAAAGGGCTTCCAGATTCTTCAGGGGTGATTCAGTACGGTCGAAGGAACGAGGGAGGTCCAACTAGGAGCTCCTCAGCATCGGTTTGGTCAAGTGTCGTCGACTTTTCTTGCCCTCAACAGGTTTTTCTTCATCCCAATAGCCGCAGAATAGAGTGAACATGCCATCCTCGATGGTCAGGAATCCGTGCATCCAGCCGGCAGTCAACGTGTTATCCACCGCCAATCGCACCTCGTCCACGGACTTGGCCTCCATTTCGGCCACATATCCAGCCACCTCGTCCAGCACCAGAGGTCTATGGAATACGTTGAAGGCCTCCAAAATGTGATCGGCGTACAGGTAACGCGACATTACACAGCCAATTTCAGGGACTTTTAAAAATTCCCAGTTAAAAACTAATTTCAAAAGGTTGGGAAATGTTCAGTGAATTTGGAGGAATGGCTCACTGATTCCTATCGAGTTTAAGCTAACATTTTTCTATCAAATAAAATGATGTTTTTCTCAAATTTGTATATAATAATTTAAAATGTAACTTGTGGAAGATAAAGTTGTGGCCCATTTAAAATAAAAGCATTCGCTAACTTTCAAACTACATGTCTTAGCCCCTGTTTTCCTTCATCCTCAACAACAAAATAAAGTTACGGACGAGACTGCCAATTTTAGTTAAGCCAAACAGTCACTTTCCGGAAGGTAAACCTATGGGAAGTCTTCGATCGGGAGTTAAACAGCCATTAGACCGACTTTAAGACCCGCCTCCTTGCTCCTTGAACAAGTTTTGGGGCTTGTGGTTCATGGCTTTCGTTTATTTTGGCTGCCACCGTTCTGGGTTTTCCATTTGGCCAACCCACTTGGGCGGTAATTTTCCCCGAGACCCCACATCAACCGAAAAAGATGGAGAGGGGCGATTATATCGTTTACATTTACATTTACACCAAATGCAGGAAAATTGGAACGCCAGCCATTTTCCCATTTTCCTCTGACTCCTTTGGCCCATTTAGTTGTTGTTGGCCGTTTAGCATTCGCATTCACTTCTAGATTTGTCATTTATGATAAGCAGTCTTGGCTTGAAAAAGGCACGGCCGAGCCCCTGTTTTCCGACCCTTTAAGCCAGGAACTACTGTACCATCCGGTATATGTATGTATCAGTTTAACTGCATTTGGCTTAGATGCAAATTTGAATTTCTGGAGGAGCTCTGTGAATCATGTAGAAAAATCTGAGAAAGAGATACATATCATTTAGCACACTAATCGAAAAGAAATTGAAAGGAAAACCACATAAATCATGGAGAATCTTTGAAATCTTCTAATATATGCTTCTTTGTATACAAATATTAACAATAAATATTACTTAGTGCCTAGAAATATTTAATTTTGAAGGGTTCCTAACTACTTTAATATAATGAGTGAATGAACTTCTTTTTGTGATCTGAAAACAAAAGGTTTTTAATTAATTTTCCTTATTAACATATTTATAGACTAATTAAATCTTTAAAATATATCTTTGTTTTGAAGGTAAATATATTTTTTGAAGTGAAATGGACACACACGTTTAAAGGTATTATGTGCAGTTGTGTGTGTAAGCTGTCATAAATTCTTAAATGCATGTAGCTCGCTTTTTTGGCAGGGAAAGGCATTACTTATGCCATGGGGCCATGAAATGTGTCAAATTGCACAACAAGTTTCGTCCTGCCCTAATGAAATTAAGCAAAAATCGATGGAAAACGCCCCAGAAACAAGGTCTCCTTTGCCTTTGACTTTGACTAATGAAAGTGCGAAATCCCAAATGCCAAATGAAATACTTGCTTGAGGACATGGTTGCTTTAAGTACTTATGTATGGTTTTGTTTCCCTCAGATTAAATGGAAAATTAACTTTTAGAACTAAGAGTATTTTTAAATTCAATCTCTGGATTTCTAACGTTGAATTCCCCTTGTAACAAGTCAAACTGCCAATTTCAGACACTGTCTCCTTCCATTTCTACCAATATTTAATGATGCCTGCGGTTAACGATGCGGCTTTTAATTTGCTGCCCATTGCCAATCCATAATGGACTTTGTATTGGATTTGAGCGGGGGATTTCGAATGAAGTATGCAAAAAGTTTGCAATTAATTCCGATCAATTATCGAATTAGTCGAGACAACTTTGTTCAATTAAATTCAAGGAATTTCAGCTAATTTCATTTTGCACTCCACTGAATTTGTTTGTGTTGCTTAATTTGCCCACTTTAAGTTTTCTTTGAACATACTTTATACAAGTGCTGGTTTGAACTAATTAATGATGATTATTTATGGCTGTGAAATTGCTTAAAAATGTCTGGGAAAACTAAATGTTTTGATTGGGAAAGTTTCATACAACTTATTATGATTTAACTTGAAAGGCAAGTAAAGTAATCAAAACAATTATATACATATTAACCACTTAAATGTCTGAAGTTTTTGGTATCATTCATAATTGATATTTGCATACATTTTATACACTCAGTTTAAAATAATCCTTTAAAAACCCAAATAGTTTTAAAGCTTTATTGGCAAAAAATGTTTAAGTTTGTAAAAAAATAACCTGTTCCTGAATGCATTAAAACTGTCGATTTCCCGAATTCCCATGCACAACAATCACATACACCTCCCGAAATACGCAGAATTAAGCCTTTCGGCATTTGGTTACTTGCCGAAATCCCCTCGAAATCCCTTAACAAAAACAACCAGCAAGCCACACAAAAAAATAAAAGAAAAATGCACCAAATCAAAGATCCATTTGGTTTTCGGTGAGTGAAAATTAACGTTGTCATTGTGGGTGGGGCAAAAAAAAACGTGGGGCCAACTGTTTTGGGGCTCTCCGTTCGGGTTTCCCCATTGTCCATTGATTGAAGCGTTTGTTGTGGCCAAACTGGGCGAGTCAGAAAGGGAAATCGGAAATGGGAAATGGAAAATGGAAAACTGGGGAAATGGGGAAAACGGTGAGGGCGAAACCGACACCCCGGGGCAAACAAAAATCAGTAGCAGGACGAGAGTGCTGTAATGGAGTTTTAATTGTGCCCCATCCGGCCGCCTCCCTATTTTCCTATGCGTTTTTCCCCCCATTCCAGATTTTCGGCCCCCTGGCATTTTCCGATTTCCCCGGACACAAAGCGCAGCCAATTGGCAAATATGCTTTGACACACACCGGAGCAATCGTTTCGGATCGAAAGGCCACAAAGCCAGTCCAAAAGTCCAAAGACCAGCCGCCAACAGCAGCCAAATTTTAGATTCACTTGCGCTGTAAAGTACACAGATAGAATATCCCTCTATTATTAAAAAAGTTTAAGCCTCATTGTATGTGTTTTTGGTATCTATTTCTATGTGATTAATTTTAAAAATATGGTTTAATATCACTTTTACATTAATATACATGTTTCCTTTTCTTTATTTAGTGAGCACCAACTAAAAAAAAGACCCACAGTTTACTACTTCATAGTATTATTGGCAAGTCCAAATTAGTTTCATATTAATATTAAATGTATTTTTATATTATAATCATGTAGTTTTGATATTATAAAATAATTGAAAATATATACTTCACATTTTCCGAAATAGTATTATTTTCTGTGCATGCAGCATTCGCGCACACCCATTTACTGAGTGTGTGGGGCATGCCCCCATTCCGGAGGAGGTGGCAACCGGACCCTGAGATAATGCCAACAATCAGAAACACGCTCTAAGCGCGCTTTGCCCAATGAGCCGCAGCCGGGCAACAAAAAGCGAGCGCCAAAGCAAACATGAAAAGGAATCCGCCGGATGGGATCTCATTGAAGTACGTTTGCCCTACACACCAAACTTATACCCTGCAGATTATTAGACACCATGAATATATTACAATGTGACAGTATATACCTACAAAAACTAGGAGGAAAAGTGAGTTTATACACCAATCAATAACTTTTTTAGTGTATTAGAATTTAATTGGGTTTCTATGTAGAAGATTTAATATTCGAAGCGCTCTTCACTCAATGCGCAATCTGTATTAGGGGATTATGTTCAAAACATTCAGTGTTTTACTCTCTCCTTCTAACATCCCTCCACAAATTCACATCATTCCACTTCATTACAATCCGAATGCCAATTACCCCGCTTAACGTCATTTCAGTTGGCAACCAATTGCGGTTTTTGAAATTATGCACTGAATCTGGGAAGGATTTAGATGGGCAATGGGCGTAGCACTAAGTAAGGAAGGAATAGCCTCTTTTACTGTTCAAAACTGAAATTACTGCTAGTCATAATTTCGTAATTTCCTGTAAAAGTTATTAATACAAATAACAAACTTATGGGCTAACAGGAAATCCATACATTTGACAAGAAACACATTTTTAAAGATGAAAAAAAATAAAATAAATATATAATGTAATGAAAACTTTCTTCTGAATACATATATATCTTATACCTTACACATTTCAGTCTGGGGCTGTTTTGCAGGTGAATTGTGGATGAAAAATTCCGTTTATATCTGCGTGTATCACATGGTCGGCTGTTAATCTTGCTGGTGTTCCGTGGGAGGACAATCCTATGGGATGGACGGGATGGACAGACGGCCAGTGCGGGGGCAATTAAAAATTTATTGAAAATTGATTTTTAAGCGCTCATCCCCGAAGGCTCCGTCTGCAGTTTGCTGTCGCAGTTGTCGCATCCCAGCGGTCAACGTTGTCTGCCGGCCAGACAGTTACCTCATCCTCGTCCCCATCATCATCTGCATCTGCAACTGCATCCGCGTCCCATTCCCTTGTCGACTTAATTGCAACGTTTAAAAAATTTCCATAATTTCGCGCTGTTTGTTTGCTCGGCACTTCAGTGCAGAGACTACTGGTTCTCCTGGTTGTCCAGCAGTGGCTGCTCCTCCATAATTTGTTCTCTGAATCTATCAATATACAAATTTTTAATTAATTAAATCATAATATATAAGGTTTACAATATGCAAAGGGAAGGCATGTTTACAGAGTTATAATCTTATAAAAACGTAGATTGTATACCCATAGGAAAGACATACATTATGTTTTTAAGGTCCTGCATCAGCACCCTGTTTGCGTTTCTACTCCATTCAGTTTATCGACGGCCCCTTCTCGATTCGGCTGCCGCCTTCCTGAAGCGATTGTGCGAGCCGGCGCCAAATTGCTTGCCAGCTGCCAGCAGCGCCGTGGAGCCGGCCACCTCGTCCTTCTCGGGCAAGTGGGCCACATGCAGGATATCGTACAGCAGCTTGGCGCTCTCCTGCGACTGCAGCAGCTCCTCCAGCTCCTTTTGGCTGCGCAGCAACAACTGCCGCAGGCTGCCACCCTTCCGGAGTAGGCCGTGTATATTGCGCGTATGAACGCCGGGCAGACGTAGCAGGAAATCGTAGATGCCGCTGTTGAAATGCAATTGCTCCCCCGCCGTGGGCTCATCGCTGCCCAAAGCCACCGCCTTTTGGGGATCCGGTTCGGGTTTGCCCAGCTTCAATTCCTCGAAAAGCTGCGCTGTGGCATAAGGACTGGGTGACCAAATGAGTCGCAATCTTGGGAAATGCAACGTGAGCAGCTGCAATTTCTGGACTATGTCCGCATTGGCCATGCTCGTCTGCTGCGAGAGCATAAATTTTCCTTGCAGGTGAAACGGTTTATTCTGATCGAACTCGATCAGCAAAATAGGTTTCGCATAATGTCTTTGCATCTGCACACATTGGTTGTACAATCTTCCCGAATTCAAGGAACCAATTAAATCCGAAATTGACTTGCGTTCCACACAGACATCCGGTGTGAGTATATAATCGCCAATCGTAATGGTCAACGGCAGGACCTCCAGGCCACGCTTGTGAATTAAACAGGGCAAATCGGAGCGGAATTCACGCATATCCACTATGACTTTGGGCGTCTCTTTGGGTGCCTGCGAAACTTGGCCACCTGCCTGACGACTCTTGGCATTTTCGCCCGCCAGTTCATCATCATAATTCTTGAACAGCAAGAAGGCTTCATCGGTCTTGCCATCCTGGTACTCGGGTATCACCATTTTCTACGCGGGAAACGGAGAAAATTGTATTTTTTCAAAGGAAATAACAAAAATTCTGCACAACTCACACTTTTGGTATCGATTATCAACTCAAAGGCGGCTTTTTCCCGTCGCAAACTGGTCAGATAGGCCTGCTCCTCCACGGTGCGTGCATGGATCAGAAAATAGACCCTCATTCGATCTGCAGGCGGCAGACGACGCCTGGCTTCGAAAACCTCCAATTGCCGAATGGCCGTGACATTCGTATTGTACATAACCACATAGTGAGGCTGCAGTTGCTCCAGCATGTGCTCCAGTGCCATCGATCCCTCACTTTCCGTTTTGAAGGTCTGCAGACAGATATACGGCTGATGAGGCAACGCCGCCAGTGCCGCTGTAACATCAAATTGCTCAAGTTCCGGTATGGTTTCGAAAATGGAGACATCTGGATCGGGTTTTATGTCCAATAAAGGCTCCTGCACCAGCGGCTGTGTCATGGTTAGCATGTAACTCTCCTCAAAGTGCTGGCCCTCTGCCTCCGACTCGCTTAAAAGCTGAGCAAGTTCATCCAGACCAGCAGCCGGTGGTTGAGAATTGGAAGCCTCCTCTTTGAGTGGCTCCTTTTTATAGGAAGCCTGTTTTAAAGGAGCTTCCCTGCCGTGACCCTCTTTGGCGTACTTATCGCTCAGTTTGCCCACGGGCATTTCATGATGCAGTGCCTGCTGGAGCAGAAAACGTGGCCCACCTTGTGTGAGATACTGTTTTAACTGATGACAGGTACGTGCATCCTGGCAGAGGATCAATACTTTTGGCTGTTCCGTTCGCCTGCAGCGTCGCATATCACCGGGTATATCCTGGGTGAGCAGGTCCGTGAGTGCCTGCCATTTGGGACACGGTTCAGGTTCAAATTCTATGTGGTTAACCCAATTAGTTTGGTAATAAATAGTTTTAGTTTTTACTGAGGGTTTTTAGCTTACCCTGCTGTCCATTGAAAACACGCTGTCTGGAGAGCTTGAAGATCTGCTCGGCGGCATCTAGTAAAGTCCATCCTGAGTTACTCAGGGCATATTCCGTGCTCCGATAGCGTTTCATCAAGGCATAGGCACTGACAGCATCGTGGTACATGGTGGAGCTATAAAAATACATAATTTAAGTAACGGAAAATATAATACAACTGCAGCTCCCATTCGTACATCATCAGACTGCGCAGAATCTTGAGATCGGCCACTATTAACTTGGTCTGCGAATTTAGCTGATGCCAGATGCAATCCAGCTGCGCCTGCAGTATTTTGTGGAACTTCTTGGTCACACAGTTCTCCACGGTGACCGCATCCATATCAACGGTACGATTAATCCGCTTGATCTCCCGCACCAGAAAGTTCATAATGTCCAGGATGTGCGTTTGAATTGAAGTCATGTTCTGGCTGAGTGGAACATGAAGTTCAATTGTTTGTGTCTGCCACGGCTGCAAGGAGCCACGAACGGTGGCATGAAATCGGGGCCAAATATATAAATTCTTCACAAACAGATTGCGCAAGGTGCGCTCTACATGCGAATAGCCAATAGTGAAGGCCTCCGGACTGCTGGAAAATGCCTTCACGAATCCGGTTTTGTTCTTCTGCCGGTACAATCGCAACGCGAATGCCTCCTGGCAACTTTCGATGATGGTGTGCGCCCTCAGGACAATAATTCCGCTGATCAGCTCGATGGGAATGCGCTGCTTCAGCAGATCCACCACCAGGATACGGGTGCTGATGAACTGTAAGCCGCCTTCCACATAAACTCGCTCCCTAGAAATCCGAAAGCAAAGTAGTTTACAATATATACAAATTAAAATTGCAGTTAAAGTAGAAAATTCACTAATTAGAGTGAAAGGGAAGCTCATTATCACTGATAATAAACAGCGTATTTTTTTGTTTTTGGCTCATTAAGAAAAAAGTAAAATAATTTTTATACCAAATTTGATATACTGTAGAGATTTCAAAGACATACGTTATGTTTAATGAATAGTAAACTTAAAATTTATACAGTTTTTATAGAAAACATATGGTCTATATATGCAAATTTATAAATAAAAACAAAAGCCAGGCAAATAATGATTTTTAAGCTTCTTTTGAAAACATGTTTTTGGTTTGATAAAGAGAAAAATATGAAATAGTGTAGGTTTTTGAAACCAACATTAGTAAGCGTTTTTAACCATCTGCAACGTATTTTTCATACCAATTCAGTATACTTTGATTCTTAAGATGAGTTATAGATTTCAAACTTTATATATTGGAAGCTTGCTACAGATTTTAATGAGATCCATTCGGTTTGTGGAAAGATCGTTTAGTTTTCATGGAAAAAATCCCTGAAACTATTCTTAGGTCCTTCGTCTTGTGAGTTTACCTTTCTGTGGCCGTATTGGCCACTTCGTGGACATATTTGGGTTCCATTTTGGACTTCAAATACTTCTCCTCCCAGTCGGAACTGTTGATCACGAGTACCAGATTCCCGGAATCGCTGTAGGCTTTCAAAATATTGATCAAAACGCGTTCGTAGCTCAGGCCTCTGTAGGAATCATATATCTAGATTAATTTGGCATATAGCTATAGCTTAGAGGTCTTACTTGGCGCAAACTAGAAGACCATCCGCCTGAACCTGATCGAGAAACATTTGTTTTTCGTATTCCAAGAGCACCACATCCTTGCACATCAAATACTCCTCGGCGGTCACTATATTTGCCAGATCCTCGTCCTCCTGAAGAGCGGCGGTGGTTTCCAACAGTTTGGCGGGATCCAGTTCCTCCGGCTGTTCTTGCTCCTCCTCTTTTTCATCATTTTCTGGCTCCAGATCGGACATAATGTGATATTATTTCCAAGGATTATATTTCGCAACTGGACAAATCTGCCGGTTCAGTTCAATCAGCTGTTTGTGTCTATCGATAAGCAATGGAGGCAGTGCTGCCGGATCGCCAGAAAATGTTAAGCAATAAAAAAATACAGTAGTTACTAGGTATATTTAAAATAACAAAAATCAAGTTAATTGTTTCAAAAGTGTATAGTGGATAATACTCTTGCGGAGGATATTATAAAATTGGTCAGAAGCTTGTAGCTTAGGGAAGGAAACATTTCTGACCCTAAAAAGTATATGTATTCGTGATCAGCATGACTAGACGAGTTGATTTAGCCATGTCCGTCTGTCCGTCTCTTTTTAAGCCGTTTGCTTGCTCAGTTTAAAGCTAGAAATATAAAAATTTCGCAATCGTGTTTTTTATGTATACGCAATCAAGTTTGAAAACGGTGGATGCTCAGGTGAAAAATGTTCAATTTCGCTTTTATTTTATTAAATCGTGTATAAATTGCTGGCTATTGACAAAATATTAGTTGTAATTTTATAAAAATTGGTTAACTATATCCCATTGCTGCCATATATCTATCATACTGACCATATGGTTACATGCCGACATATACTATAGATTCTTGGAACTTAAGTCGTATTTTTTTATGTGTACGCTGATCTGACCGAATAGACGTCTATATCCTATAGCTGCCAAGCAATGAGGTCGAAATTGTTCAATTCCCCTTTATTTTTTTAATTGATGTAAAAATTGCTCGTTTCTGACCAAAATTAATTTGTTTGGTGCTTAAACTTATCCCTTAAGTTTTAATCAAGATCTTAACTATATCCTATAGCTTTCATATATGTCTCATATATATCATACCGTTATATGCCAATATATCCCATAAAACTTTCGAACATTAACATTAGCTTCCGTTCTCGGTTTTTATTTAAATCAGCTATTTGAATTTATGGCTTTCATCTTACAAACAGACATAAATGATCTGTTTAGGTTCAAAATTTTGAGGTGTTCGTAAGCTAAAAATTGAAATTTTACAAGTAACTGTTCAAAAATAGGTGGATTTTTAAAATATTTTTATTTAATGTTTTGTTATATTAATTTAGGTAAAGTTGGCCATGCCTTTACTGTACTTACCTACCGTTGATCTGGCAGCTCCTTTCAGTGGATGCTTCGATAATCGATAACCAATATACAAGTTGCCGGCCACATTAACTGTAGAATTAAGCACGTGCAGTAGGCATTTCAAGAAGCTTGCAATTTTACGCCAGAATACAGCGCTATATCCCAGTAATTGATATCTACATCTGTGTGAGTCCGTACTAGCATTCAATATTATTTTTTTTTAAATACATTTTTTTGGTAAATCCCCAGAAAAATGTCAAAAGAGCGCCACTTTGCTTCGGGCTCAGAAGCACCGGGACAGCGAAAGAAGTCAAAAAACCCAACTAACGGTACAGCTAAAGCCAAGAAAACGGTTAATTCTGAAATCGATGGAGATAATTTCAATGACCTTGACAGCCAGATATTTGATTCGAAGAAAAAAAATGAGGAGAAGAAAATTTTGGAGGAACTGGAGTACTATTTCAACATGGATGGCGATGGACCAGCCTCGCCAGAACCCCCTCGCATGCAGGGCAAATTTAAACCATCCAGGCCCATTGATCGCAAAAGACATCAGCAGACAAACGATTCCCCACCAGAGGATGCCAATAATAATAAAAAGCAGAAAAAGGTGGCCAAGGAATCTGCCGCATCCATTCGCAAAAACCGCCGCAGTGTGGGATTGAAAAAAACCGAGCCAATTGTGGTAAATGGAGAGGCTCGAGCCTGTCCTTTGGTGCGTAAGTCCCTGCCAGCAGCGATCTCTGGATCCACACTCAAATCCCCTGCTAAATCCTGCCCGCTGCCGGAAAAACCCAAATCCCTGCCACCTGGAGTGGCCAAGTCCTGTCCTCTGCCCAAAAAGGACAAAGCTAAGAGCCCTGTGATTAAACAGGAGAGACCAGAGGACTCCGATGACTCCTCCGAAGAAGACGATACAAGTTTTGAGCTGAAATGGGGCACCAGTTGCAGTATCAAACGCAAAGAAGAAGCCCCAGCTTTGCCAAAAGAAGTCCACAAATCCAACAGCATCGAAGCTGGAACTCGCATCTTTCAGTGGATCATCAATCCCGTCAAGCCGGATAACTTTTTCTCGGACTTCTGGGAGAAGAACGCCTGCCTGGTGCAGCGCAAGAATCCCAAGTACTTCAGCGAGCTAATATCCTTTCAGATGATCGATGAAATGCTGATACGTAACCATCTGGACTTCACCATTAATTTGGACATAACCAGCTATAAGAATGGCAAGCGCGAGACCCTGAATCCCGAGGGCAGGGCTCTGCCGCCAACTGTTTGGGGCTTCTATTCGGATGGCTGTAGCATTCGTTTGCTAAATCCCTCTACCTTTTTGCCAGGACTGCGCCAGGTGTGCACCGCATTGCAGGACCTTTTCCATTGCCTAGTTGGGGCAAATGTCTACTTGACCCCACCGAATAGTCAGGGATTTGCTCCCCATTACGATGACATAGAGGCGTTTGTCATCCAAGTGGAGGGACGCAAGCGTTGGCGTTTGTACGATCCGCCCAAGAAGTCGGATCAACTGGCCCGTATCTCCTCGGGCAACTATGAGCAAGAGCAGTTGGGCGAGCCAGTACTCGATGAGGTGCTGGAAGCCGGCGACCTTCTGTATTTTTCAAGAGGCACAGTTCATCAGGCGATCACCGAAGAAGACCAGCACTCCCTGCACATTACTTTGAGTGTGTACCAGCAGCAGGCTTATGCCAATCTCGTCGAGAAACTAATGCCCATCGTGCTCAAAAGGGCGGTGAAACAGAGTGTGGCCTTGCGTCGGGGACTGCCGCTGCACACCTGGGAAGTTTTGGGTAAAGCCCAAAGCTCCACCAAGAGTCAGTCGCGCACTCAACTGGTTGAGGATGTCCAGAAGTTGGTTAGCAAACATTTGATGCCCACCGCCCAGGATATCGATGAAGCGGTGGATCAGCTGGCCAAGAAGTTCCAGCATGAGGCACTGCCACCAACCATCTTGCCCGAGGAGAAGGTGCGCACCGTTTTCGGCTCCCGCAATGTGGTAGATGCGAAGGGATACTGTAGCTGCGATTACAAATTCACTGAGGAGACCGCTGTGCGTTTGCTGCGTGCCAATATACTGCGTCTTGTTAAAGAAGACGATGACTCCCTGCGCATCTATCATCATGTGGACAATGCCTTGGAGTACTGCAAATATGAGCCCACCTTCATGGAGATTCTGCCAGCGGAATGGGCTGCCGTTGAAGTTTTGATAGCTGCCTATCCATCGTACGTTAAGGTGGGCCAGTTGCCCATGAAGAATGCGGATCGCAAAGTGGAGGTAGCCTTAGCTCTGTGGGAACGTGGTCTCCTGATGACTGAGAAGCCATTTAAAGAATGAGGAACATTACGAACTAAGAGTATTACAAAACATAAGGCATCCTATAAAATAATACCGGAAAAACTAGATAAAATGTATACAATAAGGCAGAAACAAGGAAACCAAAGGAAAAGCAGGAAAAGCAAAGAGCATAAAATGTTTAAGATGTCATAAAACCAATACAAGATCGAGGACCTGCTTTTGATATCCTTAGGAGATCCAAAAAATCTTAGAATTAATGTCCAAACTAATGTCACCTATAAGGCCTGCACGTCCGAAGGATTGTTTTATGTAAAAATGTTCTTATAACACCATTATTTCTAATGTGTAATTCTCAAGTTCTGCGGGAAAATCAATCACATATAATATATAAAATAGAATATACTGTTTCATATAAATGGTTGTTTTAACTTTTATTGACACTAATTAAAAAGGGAAAATCAAAAAATGATGGGATTCTCTTTTAGGCGCTGCGGATTCTCTTCCGTTCACGATAGAGGCTTTCCTGTTGAACTGAAAATAAATAAAATAAAATATTTAAAATGGTGGGGATGAATTTATATGGTCTTAAATAGGTAATTCATTCAACAATAATAAAAAATTTTTGTGAATAAAACACTGCATTATTATTATAAAATTAAGTAACTACTAAAATAAGGATGGAATAGATATGTTTTTAAGAAATTTAGTTTAAAATGATCAATTTTTATAAATGGCATATTATATATGTACTTCTAATTCTTCTCCAGGCGTTATGAATATCATATGTACATCACATCTATGAAACATCTTCAGAAATAAATGTGGTTATAACAAATTGAATTTGTTTATATACATTTATAATGTTTAAAGGGAACTTAATTTAAGGGTTTCAAAGAAAGCGTATTAAAAGTTGCTGAGATGCCAGTACAGGCAGTACTCACTGTAAGGATCGAAGCGTATTATCTCCAATTTTTCGGCCAAACGATCCCGAAAGGCATTATATTGATGTCCACTGACCACACTTTCCAGCAGAACCATGATTCGCCTGAAAAACGCATCATTATTACCAATAAACCCTTTTAGGAAAGCAATATAACTTACTTGCTCTTCACTTTCTTGAATAAAACATTCGTTAGACGCATTTTGTTTCAGTAAATGGGGGAAAATTTATTAAAATTCAGGAAATGCCGCAAAATTGTTGTGCAAGCAAAACGATAAATAAGTAAAACAGCTGATTGCGATTATCGAAAGTCAGGTGGCTTTGGGCAGAGTTGCCAGATTGGTCAACGTAAAGCTTGTTGCGCGCGCACTTTTTAAATTTGTAAGCTCCAGTTGCGGTTAAGTTTTAAAATCAATATACTATGTACGATTTATAATTTATTTTATAAATATTACTAAGAATTGAGAGTTTATTGTTTGTAATTTGTTAGCAGCAGAAACATCAACCAATCATTTACCAAAATATCATTAAGCAGAGCAATATTTAATAATAAATTTGTCTGTATATAATTACAATTCAAGAGGTGGAATTTAATGTGAATTTGGGAATAAATGTCTCGCATTAAATATCTCAGACTTAAGGCATGTATTTACCTTAACTCTTTTAACCTGTGCAAATTCATTCATAAATCAGTGCAAAGCAAATGCAAATGTTCATTATTAAAATTAAATATTTTAAAATATATAAGAAAAAGACACGTTGGTTCAAGTCCCTACTATTTATATTCTGGTTTCATAAAGCGGATTGCGCCCAAGATTAATGGTCTCGTTTTTAGGTACGAGGTGGTCACACTAATGGACTCTGGCCACACCAATCTTCATACTCGTGCGAAACGGACGCGAATTTTCATTTGTGCTGCAGAAACCAAAAACAACAGACCAAATAAAAACAAAATAAAAAAACGGTCAAAATTCCGGGTAAAAAAACAAAAGCGGTACAAATAGAAAAAATACCTCAAAACTACCACAAATCAGAACAAATTGCGTAAACTAAAGTCCTTCGTTTTGGAAACCAAAAAAAATCAGCGCTACACGCGCTTCTTGTCACTCCTTTTTGCCTTGCGCTCTTGTTTTTCTTTTTTTTTTGGTTTCCCTAGAACTTAAGGTTTGCGCGTGGTAAACAACTCTTCTTTTTTTTGCGGTGAAAGTTTTTTAAGTGCAAAAAAGCCAAACAAAAATATTGAAAAAAACAGAAACCAAAAAAGCAGCAACAATAAATCAACAAAACGGAATCAAAGTCAAACAAACATACCGACAGACAGACGCGAAAGAAGCTTCAAAAGAGAGAGGGATAAAAGGAGGAAAAAGAGGAAGAGGAGGAGAGAATCAAAGGTAAGAGCATTGCGAAAAATGCCTATTCTTTATTTTGGAATTGCATAGTTTAAAAGTTTTGTATTTAGGGGTTGCAAGTGCGAAATTATTTTTTAAAGCCCACTTTTAGGCGCCTCATTGAAGCTAACATCCTGCAAGGATAACACAATAATCCGAATTAACTACTTTCAGTAGTCAAAATAGTGAACTTTTGTTTTTTTCTTCAGCTCCAATATGTATGAACAATAAAATAATAATAATTAATAATAAAGTAAAAACTACATTATTAGTACCAATGTGTCTGAACTTTTTATTACTTCTTAATCAATACACATAAATGTAATAAATGAGCTGTATTTTCAAAAGTTAGCAAATTGTTTATAGAAAGCGGGAGTGAAACTTTTATTCTGTTTAGAGACCCTTATTTCACTTTTATGGAAATAAATGGATCGGTTTTCTTTATTGCTTAAAACTTTGTGATATAAAAACCTGACAGCTACTTTTTAGGCATATAATCTTTAATATTTATTTACCGCAAATAATTAACTGGAGTTTATTGACGTCAAAGAAAGTTCTTCAAAAATAACAAAGACCTTTTTGTTAAGTAGAAGTTGAAGGTAATAAGATTTAAAACATTTTTTTTAAATTTATGAACACCATATTTCCTATTTTCGAGAAGTTTTCTTCTTTTGTTAATTTGTCAAGGTTTATAGGACAATTTTGATTCTGTGTTTCTTGCTTTTAATTAATTAGATAATTATTTACCTTACCAAGGCGAAACAAATATTAGAATGAATTGTTTAGCGTTAGGACCTCCACCATCACGTTTTCAAATGCATGTTTATTAAAAATGTTTGTTTCTGTGTACCTTTTTAAATACATGATTGTTGATATTTAGAAAAGGCGGTTTTGGGAAAAACGATCATGGTCTAAATTGTAAATAATTTAACAAAACGTAAACTTGGCCATAAAGATGGTCGAAAAAAGCAAGAACAAAGGGGGTGGGAGCGGAGGGGAGATGAAGGCAAGGCAGAGGAGCAGGTGAAATATATAAACAAACAAGCGCAAAGAGGAAGCTACGCAAATACATAAGTAATTGAATAAATAATGTAAAAAAAATATTAAATTAGAAGAAATTTACTTGCGCGCACGCCGACGCAAAAACACGAACTCATGAAGGGGGAGGGGCTGATGATAATGGGGAGAAGGAAAAGAAGAATGAGGATGATGAGGGGGAAAAGAGAGAAACAAACATAAAATTGAAGCACTGAAATTTAAACACGCAAAAGCAAACAAAATTTCGCACGCCCTCTCGTTCGCACTTATTGCCACCTGGTCGCCCCGTCATACTCGCACTCACGGCGGACACTTGTTTCAACCTCTGCCGACGTCGACGCAGCTAAAGTGCACTGAAAAAAAAGCAAACTCTTCTTGAAAAAATTTTCAGATACTTATACAAAATATTAGAATTTTAAAGTTCTTAAAAAAATTAAGAAATATACATTCAATAAGATATAACGATTTAAATGAGATCAAATTAATTGGTCTTACATTTATAGTTTTACTTGAACGTAATAGTTCTTTTTTCTATATTTAATAAACAAATTAAAATTTTTTTATTTCAGTAGATGCAATAAAAAAATAAAAAAATGAGTATCATATCGAATACAAATTATAATTTTTTTTGAGTTTGAAAGTTGGACTTTCCTAATAACGTTTTTGAATAACACAATTAACTAGGCTTCCCTGTAATGAAGTGGCTTACTTTTAGTGGCAAGTGTGGCGATCAGAAGCATTTGTTTCTCCCACTTCCTTTTGTTTGTTTGCCCTGCAACCAAGCGAAAGGGGGCGGGGTCGATGGTCGGTGTGCGGTGGGTGGTATCGGATTGTGCAATAAAGCTATAATAACAAGAACAAAATAACAAATAAATCGTTACAACAACCGCCGTCGAACACTCATCGCACCCACACAAACGCACTTTCAGTGGGCAGGAGAAAGAAAGAGGGGGGAAAAAGAGGGGCCAAAAAACAATAATCATATTTGCACTTACTCTCCCGCTCGCATGATCAGCACCCACGCAAAGAGTGAGAGCAAGAAGATATGGAGAGAGGAAGTGAGCAACAGAGAGCCCCAAAACAGTAGTCAATGGTCAAGGAAAAAAGGACATGGGAATAAATAACGTATTTTTGAATATTGCTGCAATATACAATTTAATATATGTAGTTTAACTAATTGGAACCGTGAACTTGCAACAACTACCAAGACAGAATAAGGTTGTTTAATTTTAAATATTTCCTTATTCTTAATTCTAATAGATAAAGAACGTATCACCAAAATTTATCAAAAACTTACAGGTGTTCTATTAAAGAAAATATTTGTGGTAATATTTATTTTACAATTGTATTATATTTAATGTATACTAATCACAAAAGGTCTAAAATACGTTTTTCACAATACTGAACTCAAATATTTAAAAAGAGGAGATAAAGGAGGGCCCACTGTACTTAAGATAAAATAGCTCTTTTTGGTTTTCGAGTGCTTAGTTCTCCGGCGTTTGGCTCTCCGTTCTCAGTTGGTCAGTGTCCGTCCGCCGGAGCTTTTCCCCTTAGTCCGCTCGCATAATAAAATCCGCGATAAACAGGGAAAACAGAGAGTGAGAAAAGAGAGAGAGAGAAAGCAACGTGTTTCTCGGTTTCGTTATGGTTTTTTGGTTTTAATTTCAGTTTCGTTTGCCGCACAGGTTGCATTTTTCTATTGTATTTTCCTCTTTATTTTTTTTGTGTGCAAATATTCACTGCGATCGCCGTTTTTTTTGTGCAGTGACTTTTAGTTTGTGTAAAGTGATGAATGCAAAAAAAGTACAACAAAAAACATTCGGGTGTCACCTGTTGTGAGAGAAAGAGAATCGGCAAGAGAAAGGTGAATAGGGGAGAGAGAGCGGCTGATCAAACTGCACATCGCGCAACGATCTTCTCTTACCAGAATTCGCAAGGCGGGAAAAAACAAACAAATATAAATAAACAGAATTAATAAACAAAAATACGTATCAAACAATAACAAGAACCGAAGCCAATTAATTAAATACGTATACAAGTTAAACACTCAACAGAACACAAATAACTATGGTCAAGTGCACTGTAAAAAAATCAGATAAAAATGTAAGTACGTGAGTTTGGACCCAAAAAATATATTATTTTGTTTATCAGAAGTTGAAACACATTCTCGAGATTAAAATTTAAAATATTCCATTTAAATTGTTGATACATAATTCTGGGAAATTTTAATTCATATGCATAAGTCCACTGAGTCATATTATTCTATTATAAACTTTTTTCCACGTCATGAGCCCTTTACAATAAATCCGAATAGTATTTCAAGAATTATAAAGGAATTAAAAAGGCGACCCAACCACATTTCACATGTAGTAATAGATAATAAATGTATGCTCAGTTCCGGAAATATTGTTATCTCTCTTATGGAAATTGCTTGGTAACAATTTATGGTCTTGTATGCAGTAAATAAACTTGAATTATCATAAATTATCAAAAATCGCTGAGGATTACCAGCTCGAAGATAAAACGTTGGAGGGCAAAACACGATTTCCGTGGATTTAGAACATCGCTTTGTTTGGGTTTCTATATATAGAACTTACATAGGAGTACCAGAGTGAAGGTGTTTGTTTGATATTCGTAGTTTTATTTCATCCAACGAATGAGCAAAATAAAAGAGCGTCGAATTAGATTTCCAAAATGCAGGTAATTTTGTTTAATTAAAGTGGTTTAACCTCGATGAACTGACTCCACGTTCCATTTGCCATATCCATTTGGATGATATAGAAAACCATTCCTATTCGCATTTTCACACTCATTGCGACAATTATGGTTCGCATTGTATTATGCATTTATCGAGTTAAGGCCTTTTGTGCTCCCAACTCAGTTCACCTCGCTTGATTTGATTCAGCGATTCAGTAATTCGGATGACATTGGGCCATCCAATGAATGGCAATGTTCAATCTGTACACGCGGCGTATGCGTAATCTTTTTTACGGCTCTTCCGCACTTTTACTTGTTACAAGTAAAATTTAAGAAATGGCCTATTTCATTGGTAATTTACCAGTTTTCAAAGTAGTTTATTTGAAATTTATTGGTTTATCACCTACCATCAGAAACTGTTTGCTGACAAGCCTACGTTTTATACCATTGAATAAAAAATAGTTATCTCTAACTACTATAAAATAGTTCGATTATTTCAATACCTACAATGATACAAATCAAAGGTTAAAATGGAAGGTATATATTTTTTATTGTTTGACATAATATAGAAGTAAAAGGTATTTTATTGAGCAAATTCCTCCAATAGTCAGATCGTTCTATCAAGTAATTCACTACCGAACTGTCAATCGTGTTCGAACACCATCTTAAAATTAGAATGAATTGTGTTTTGCGGTCAACCGCAAACCGACAATAATGAATTTGGACAGTCACATTCAGATATTGCAATCAATTGAGGTGGAAAATACAAATGGGACATGCCCACAAATATTTTTTTTTTGCTGATGCTTGTAAAACCAAATACAAAATGTTAAGCTTCTTAAGCTGCAATGACTAATTTTGGAATGAATCATTACCAGTGTATCAATATTGCAGTTTCTTGTTTTTTTTAAATAAATTATATTTTCAACTCTGAGGCTATGGAAATTTTTATTTGAATTACTGTGACATAAAGAAAAACAAAAATCGCTTTAATAGGTTGCAACAATTTTGTGGTCCCGTGTCCTGAAATGCCCACAAGATCGCCACCTCTGCATGCTCGACTATCAAACACCTCGAACTGTCAGCCATCCCTGAAATCCCTGATGGTGTCCATTTAGTGTCCTTTTTGGATCATCAAGATAAATTAATACATGGCGAAAAGCAGGAAGAGGGTGGCCATCGCTATTCGGAGCAAATTGTTGGACATTGGCGGTGCGGAAAATGCGGGTGCCAAACAGTCTAGTGATCCAGCCACCACGTGGTATACGCAACCTTGGAAAGTTCCGCAATCGCAGGCTGTTAGGTAGAAAATCAGATATCGTGCCACGCCCATGTTCCTCTTCAGCTCCGAAATCTCGTTCTGCAGTTCCATGTCGATCTGACTTTGGCGCAGCTGCTCGTTGTATTTCCTGGGTCAAAAATAGGGAAAATTAATGATATTTTTTAAATTTACAAATATGTCCACAGTATAACTTACATCTCGAGCTTGGCCAGTTCTTGCTCGCACTGCTTAAGCGTTTCGTAGGCGGTGTCCAATTGCTCCTGTTTTTCGCCAAGCGCCACCGACATCTGGTCGTTCTGCAGCAGGAACTGATCCTTGATCGTTAGGAGTTCGTCCTCCAATTGGGCATTCTGGTGCTCCAATTCGATTGCACGCCTCTGCTGATTGGCCAATTCAGTGGCTCCCTCGCGATAATTTGCCAATTCCCGGAACATTTCGGAACGACAGGTGTCCAGCATTTCGGCGAAATATTCGCATTCCAGTGATTTGGAGGCCAGTTCACCGTGCAAAGCGGTTTCCCGCTTCCTCAACTCCATCAGTTCCTTGTCCAATTCGGCGCAACTAGCCATGGTAACGCGAACGCGACTGATGGCCCGCATCAGCTGACCGGTTAGCTGTTCACCACGACGCTGTTCCAAGCAGATCATCTGGTTCCGGGTGAAAAGCTCGGTTTGGGTGCGAGCGGCCTACAGAAAAAAAATGGGATCAAAATGTATAGAAAAAACTAGCATGATATTATTTTGTGGCCTTGAATTTAGAAATATCCAAGAAGTACTTGAAGCAAAAGTACTGTAGAAATGTTTATTAAAAAACTTAAAATATTCGTAAACTATTTTGACTGTTGGAAACATAAGTTAAACTCACATGATCCTGGTATTTGCGAACTAGAGTGTGTAGGTCGCAGACCTCGGCCTTTCGTCGGCGCCAAAGCCGAGCGAGCATTAGATTGAAGAACTTAATGGCCAGGAGGCGGGTTTCCGCATCCATTTGCTGTTCCGGGACGACCAGAGCTTCTTGTTTATCGACCACCTGAACCGCAAAATGTCTGTTCTCCTCTGTTTCCGGATCACTATCGTAGGGATGTAAGATGGGATTACGGATATGACTCCTCTTTGCCTCGCCCCTTGTTCCCGTAGCCACTGGCAGTGCTGGTGTCTCTTCCGAGCCGTAGAATATAGGATTGGATCTGTTGTAATTACGACGACTGTTGGTGGGCAGGACCGCCTTCAACTGCCTTCTCGGGGAAGGTGGAGGTGCCAATCGGTCGAAGATGCGCTGCAGCTCACCTATCGGTTAACAAATGGCTTAACAAAATATCTACAAAATGAATATAGCATTGGACAAGATTTAAAAATGGTATTAGACATACCAGAATAAGTAAAGATATATCAAACTAATATCAAGTATTAATATAAACATTAAAAAAAGAGTGAAATATCTGTTTTCCCTAAGACTCACCCATTCCCTCCTCCAACTGACGCTCTACGATTCCCCAAGATGTACTCATCCCCTGGTTGGGTACATCCATATCAATGGGAAACATCTCCTCCAGATCCTGCAACTCGCGATAATCGAATAGGTCGACTTGGGGCTCTTGATCTTTCGATGGCTTCGCTGACGACATGGTTGTGCTATAACTTTAACTAACTGCTCCCTCACGCAATAATGCAGTGTTTAATGTCTCCTAGTTTTTAAAGTTCAAAAATTGCCGAAAAAATTGACTTTTTTGTGGAAATTTTATCTGGAACTGATTTAACCTTTGCTTTAAAGTCTGTGTGAACATGCTTTCGGGCACTGATTGACAGCCCAGGCACAGCATTCTACTTTATAGGAAATTCTTTAAAAAATAGTGATATAAACAATAATATTAATATTACATTTTTTAATTTACTCAGTCCGTTTCGACATTAATTATTTATATTCGAAGATTGGTTAAAGCTAGACGTGTTGTTATAAGTGTATGTAAGGTTTCCTTTAAATGAACTTCACTAACAACTCTTAAGTAGAACTTTGAGTTTGAACTGAAATCAGAGTAGGTGGATGCAACTGTTTTGGGGCTCTGTATGGCGACCTTTAACCTCGTTCGGCTTGCTTTCGAGGAATGCTGCTGGGTTTATTTAATGGCTTGCCTTCAACTCATTTCCTCATTCATTTCCCCACCACTCCGTGTCTATGCAGTCGAAATATCAAACGAGAAAATTAAATTATTGACTCACTGACGTCGTTGCCGTTCCTCTTTCTCCGCTCGTTCTGTTTCTGTTTCTGTTTTGGGGTTTTGGTTTAGGTTTTCCTTTTTTTTTATGGCCAGCGCGCACCGCACGCCATTTTGACAGTTTGAACGCTTTGCAAATAAACTGTAAGGAGGCATGGTGTTGACAGCATGGACGTCGCGACGCCTGACAGTCCACTGCGGAAAATAAAACACGGCCTAAAGGGTTTTCATTGAAATTTAAGATTTGAATTTAGAAAGCTTAGACATAATAGAAACCCTAAACCGCGAATTCTTAAGCCTTTTCATCTACCATTAAGTTCTTAGTACTTTTATATTACACTTTTGCTTTTCACAGCACAAATGTCTCGTGCTCTTTAGCTAAACAAAGAAACCTCGTATAGATAAATACTTTTAAAACATAAATTTTTAAGCTTATTTTTGTTTTAGTCGAATCACATCCTCCAAAAAATGTTCTGTAGGAATAAAATTTAGTTTTTCATTACTTAGGATACAAATTTTTTAGAATCGCTTATAGATAAATATTTAAAATTAAAGTATTTCTTTTTTTTATCAAATCATCACGATAATTTAGAATTATGTTTAGAAATGACTAAGATTTTTCTAGGTGTGTTGAAAAATTTTTGCTGGCGGGGACTCCGTGATATCAGCGAAGTAGGGGGCACAAAAAATGTGGAGGGACTGCAAATGCTTAGAGAACGTAGTTACATGTAGTGGGTAACATGTTTTTTTTTGGCCGGGCAATTACCTGGCATACGAACGGCGGCGGATACATGACAGAGGAGATTAGATACGACCCGGGGACACTCGCCGATTCAGAGTCGAACGAAATGTTTTGCTCTTTGCAGCTTGCAACTGTTGGTATTGCAAGGTAAAAATGTCCTAGATAGCTGGGGAATACCAAAAGTATCGTGCATAAATTGTGTATGAATTCTCAACTGTCATCTGCAATCTGTGGGTAAAATTCAAGTCTGATTGTAATTTAAAGCATTTAATTCGCCTTTGAGGAAAATTACAAAACTGGAAAACGTGGTTGCACTCAAACATTTCTGAGCTTTGTTTAGGTACTTTTATATTCCCTAAGTAGAAATTATAATAATTATTATACTATAGAGCTTATCCCGGTTGACCTATTTACTCTTTGCTGTTCACATATCCGTACAACTCAACAAATTTTCTGATAGCTTTAGGTGTTGGATATGCCAACCAATTCGTGTATCTTTGCCTAATTAAGGCGTTAAATTCAGGTTAAGCTTGTGTGTATCTCTAGGCATCGATACACACTCAAGTGTATATCGTAATTACTACTTCTCACCGTGTTTATCCGAGAGATACAAGTAGTACTTGAACCGAAAGTATCTCAAGGTATCTGAAAGCCAACCAGAAGTATCTTTCACTTTCGATTTGATCAAAGATTGCCGCCACAACAAGGAGGCTAGCGAATAAATTCAACAAACATAAGCCCCAAGGCACTAGCTCGACAAAGCGTGGATGGTGGGGAAATGTGGCATTTTCTGGGAAATCAACGAAAATCGAATCAGGCCCAAACATACACACACACACTCAGACAGGGGAAAAGTGAACAATTTTATTAAAGCAGCCGTGTTGCGTAAAAGCCAAAAGGTTTTCCCCAAACCACTTTACTTGACTTGACCAACTGACGAAATGACAGGAGGACTGAATGACCAACTGAGAAATGGTCGGCGAAATACCTTAGATATTATCAAAGTGAGAAGAAAATATTGCATTTGAATTTAGGAAGTATATTTAAACAAAATGGCGTTTTGGGGATTACAAAGTATAATATAATACCTTGCTTTTATTAATAATATTAAATTTTTTTTTGATTTTATTATCTCAAAAATGTGTGTGTAACGAAAATTGGACTCTTAAGGTTCATATATTGATTTATATATGAACAAATAAATAATGTAGCGTATAAATACAAAATTTCAAGCGGGAATTCTTCAGTTTGGTTTTAGTTTTTTTATTTCTAAAAACTATGAATGCAAATGGTGTGAATTTTTAAACTTACGTTGAAAGTACCTTCTCCCTTGATTGAAGTTGGCATAGTTCTAATTAAAATATCATAAGGCCAGAGGAATGAATGTTTTTTGAGCCTTAACAACGCACTAAGCCAAAAACCGAGGAAGTGGATAAAAATGGGTGATAAAGAGAGGAGGTGGGCAAAGAAGAAAGGAGTGAGAGAAAGTAGGTTGACTGCAAACATCATCAAACTAATTATGAGCAAGCCGAGCAGCAGCGGCAGTAGCAGCATAAAGTCAAGTATCTTTTGCATATGAAAGCAGTTGGGAAATTGGAACGCTGTGGAATCCCCATTTCCTCCAACTCGCAACCCCCTATTCACCATTGATTAAAAGTTTTCAGAAAAGTCAACACAGGAGCTCTGGTTTTTGACCAGACCAAAATGCAATTTGCAGTGAATAGAGTCACAAAAGTTTCGCTGAATTATTCAGCAATTCAAGATGAATTTTTCAACTGTGGAACCATTTTTTAAAAGTCCAGAAAAACCCGCAAAATCTACACTACACAATAATTTTATGAAAATAGTTTTGAATTTAAGAAAATATTTTTTTTACCTATTTTCACATGTTTAAAATTTAAAAACAGTATACATATTTGTGGATTCAATCTCCAAACTATGATGTCCATAAAAATATATGAAAGTAAAATTAAAAGACCTATGTATAAAATAAACGTGCTATTTTGTGCATAAGAATTTTGTTTGATTTAAATTTTGTTAGTGTATTTAACCAAAATCCCGTGTGGGCGTGGCACTCACTGTGTCTTGCCGCCTTCGTATTTTTGTGTATGCCGTAAAGCTGGAGAGCTTATCCCAGGCCGTAACCACCCGGAATTTCCCTCTGTATAACGGCCTCCTGCCCTTTTTGCAATTTCGCTGCTCATTTGCCAGCTTTTTTATTTGCATAGCCGTCGTCGTCATCGCTGTTTGTTGCTGCTTTTTCGTTACCTTTACCTTCGCCTCACCTGGGCTGCTGTATTTTATTTTATTTGCATTTGTTTGTAAATGATTAACAAAGAGGTTAATGTGCACAGCGAGCGAGATAAACAGCGAACAGGGAACGCCAGCTGAGTTTCTGCCGCTTTTTTTCTTATATTTTCTTGTTTGGATTTTCCAAGGCAAGGGCAAGGCAATGGGTGGTTTTTAGAGTGTGGCAAAAGGGGGCGTGGCAGGGGGGGTAACTGGTTGGTTCAGGCAGCTGGAGCAGAAAATCTACAGCGTACACTATAGACAAATACATGGCCTCAAGATTAATACACTGCAATTGGCAATTGAAAAGAAACCAAAAATATTCTTATACTTTTCAAACCTTTTTCAAATTTATTTGTTGCTATATAAATTAAAATGTATGTAATTTAATTTAGCTAAATTATCTTGTAATATGTATGTATCTTTAAACAGGAAGAGAGGGATTATTAAAAATACAGAATTTTATTAAGCAAATTGTGCCGAGAAATGGAAATTTAGTTTATTAGGCACCGCTCTGCACGTGTATGTGTATGGGTTTTTTTTGTAGTACTTAGTGGGATGTGGGTGGCATCATGTAGAGATGCAACATGAATGACCTTCACTTAGGCACACAAAAAACATTACATTTGCGCTCGTGTGGGTGCTCGCTCGTCTTTTCTTTTATTTTGTTTGATTTGGAAAATTAAGGCCAAAACTGCAGCAGCTAAGGGACTTGAAATACATGGTTTACTTGTGTGGGAATGTGTACATAAGCATTCTGCAAACTATTCAAATTTTAATAAATATGTTTTATAATTTTTTTTTTGCAGTTCATCGCATAAACAACGCCCTTAACTTTAAATTAAATGCTGCGGTAAGTTGTAAACTTTTAATATTTAAATTGCATTGTTTTAGACAGTACAAATTTGTATATTTTGTAACTCAGGAAAACCAATTCAGATATTTTAAGATTACACAAATATTAAAAAAATAAAATTAAAAAAGAAGTCAAGAAACAATTAAAATTTAACCGGGTATTTTAAACCCACTTAAATGTCCGCTTCTTTTCAATAACTAAAACTTATATTGGCTGTTTTAGTTTTTACAAACTAAATTTCCTCATAGTTTTCCTCCGGCCAAAAATGTGTTTTAAGAATTGATTGTGGCGGGCAATCGGAATAGCAGTTTTAAAGTTTTTGCCATATCCTTACTACTCGTTTAGTTCCTTGGTCGCAGTTTTTTTTTTTTGGCAAAAACCAGCCACAACTTTTGAGCATGGTGAAAAGTTTGTTTTGGTTTTTATTATTTTATTATTATTTGAGTTGGTTCGTTGGCTCCGTTGGTTTATGTATATTTCATATGCCATGAATGGCACACACTCACATTGGAACACACAGATACACTACCACACAGGCACTCACACGCACACTGATATAGATACAGATACACACGCATACAATGGGGCAAAAGTTTTGTCATGGATTCAAGTCGGCACGCCTCAATGTATGCAACACACTTGTGGCTCATGTTGTATTAATATAATCACTTTGGGAATTTCCCCCGACTTACCGAAAACACTGTGCGAAAATCAAAGTTTTTAAATCAGAAAATTTTAAAATTTCGGTATGAATTCATTTCTATTCTGCATAGAAATTTGTATATTTATAATTCATTTTTACTTTTTTTAATTATTTAGTATTTATATTATTTAATAAAAATAAAAACTTTATTTTCTGGCTTATAGCATAATTTTTAAATGAAATTTTACGGTAAATAAGACCACTTAAATGCAGAGTAAAGTAAACTGCAGTATTTGAACATTTATGGTAAACAAATGTGGTACACTGCTTGTTGAAATAAACATAAACAAACAGAAATATTTACCTTTTGCAAAAGCTAATTTCCGTTAAAAAAAATTGTTCTCAGTGAAAAGCAGAAGCAACAACACGAGCATGTTAAATGGATATTAAACTATGACTACGTCGACTGCGGTTCCCAGTACCTTTTTTTTTATTTTTTTTTTTTTGGGTTCTGGTCTTGTACAATTTATCCCCTTGGTTCTACCAAAACTTACCCATTATGTTCCAGTTGATGTTGGCTACCGTGTCCGCATCCCTGATTATGACAGTTATATGTCGTGCTGCTGGTTTGGTGAGTCAGTTTCAGTTTCAGTTTCAGCTTCGGTTTACGGGGCGAATGAGTTATCTGCAGTTAAAGCTCCCTTAACCTCAGGGCACCAGAAAAAAAGGTTAAACAGATTTAAATGACCCGCCAAAATGCAAATGGCACAAATGATTCGGTTGCAATTTACTAATCCATTGAGTTGGTCTGATTGAGCTTTAAATCTATTGCAGATTAGTTAGTTGAAGTGATGATGCTTCATTTTCATGTTATGATACAAATACTCGAGAAAATAAAATTTGTTTTGTATAAGCTGATTTTCTTTTATTGATAGCAGTATTAGTTAATAAGCCTTTAATAATAGTTAAAACAATTATTTGTACTCGTTGGTTTGGCATCTTTATATATATTGAATAACTTTTGCAGAGTATTTGAAAAATGATATTGGCGCAAAAGTTTTCTAATCTCACTTTTGCCTTTTCCGGTCTACGGCAGAAGTGCCCCCTTCTCCCCACTCCCCCCACCACTTTTGCAGCCTTAGTTTTTGGGCCTTTGTTTTAGCCTCGTTTTCCTTTTGTCATAATTTGGGCATGTTAATTTGCCGGGCTTATGGCTTTTGAGTGGCGTGCCGTGCGTATCCTTGTCGACCCTCAACCGCTGTCCTTTTCCCCCGCCCTTCTCACCCCATTTTCCATGGCCAGAAATAACACACTCTCGCACACACACACACACACACACACACACACAGACAGATGGATGGGTGGCCATCAAAAAGTGTAGCATACAGTTTTGCGTCGCTTATGTAATGCAATGCTCGAGCATCTGACGTTGTCTGCCTTGACTTTCATGCGTGCGTAAATGTGTGAGAAACGAAAGAGATGGAGAGAAAGCAGGAGAAAGTGATGGAAATACAGGGGCCCGGGAACGAGAGCAAGCGAGACAGTGTGTGGAATGGACCTGGCTACGTACGTGCACATACATTAAACGTCCGCCTAATGTTGGCGTCATTAGCCGCGCCACCAACAAAAACGCCCCCTTTCCCTTGACCTACGCCCACTCTCCCACCCCCACCACGCCTCCCTCCTTTCACCCATCTTGCCTCCATCCCAAACCTTTCACCACTTTCATGTCCTGAGCAAGACTTTCCCTGTGACTAAATTCCCACTAGTCAATTTGTGCACTAAAGAAAAGGTTTTATTTTGAAAAATAAACTAGTTTTTCAGTTCAGAGAAGATTAAAATCCTTCTGATCAAAAAAAAAATATAGAAACATTCCAAAACAATAAGTAGAGTATTAAAATTTTATTAAAATAAGATCAACTAAAACCCATATTTTGGAGTGAAACTAGTTTAGTCTCACTTTTATTAATTTTAATAATTCAGAAATGTAATTTAAAAAAAATTAAATTTATAATTTGTTCTATTTATTATTAATCCATTGTTTTTATACAAATGTTATGTTTGGACGCCGAGCGAATCCACTTAGAGGGTCGATCTAAGAAGTTAGTTTTTTTTGGTGGTAAATGGATGGTTGGTGAGTAAGTTGCTTGGACCTGTGAGTCTTTTGGCACCTCCAGCACCGCCCAGATATCTTCCAAAAACCACCCACTCGTAATGCTGATGACATTGGTGGCAGACTGCACTCAGAACGGCGAAACTCAGGGCAATCTTGCGCAGGCGGCGCATCTCATCAGACCTGGAATGTGGAATATAAACCCATGAGATCGGGGCTTTTTGGGAGGCGGTGAAATGAGGACAAGAAGAGAATAATGGCGTCACTCACACAGCACACACACTCACACACACGCGCACACTTGTCAGGAAAGTCACACACACACAAACACCACCATTTTGTTGACTAATGATTTACAAAATATCCTGCTGAGCCGCCGTCACATGCATGGCACACAAGTCAGAAGGACAACACTTGGCTTCTCCTTTTACACTTGAAGAAAATAATGCCTATAGCCTATTTGGAAATCAATTTGTAAGAATTTTTACACCTTTGTGGTAAAAGTTTTACAATAAAAAAAAGAACACGATTAAACTACCAAATGATATATAGGCGGTTGAATAATTATCTTTTTTATCAAGAAACCATTTTTATTTACGTTTAAAACAATACAAAATGACTAATAAATGTTTTTGGTGAATCTTTTGTGAATTGTTCATTAAACAGTATTTTATGTTTTAGGTATAATCATTATGATTTTGTATGTAATTTTTTCAAGAATTTTGTTGTGTGGAAGATTTTACCGCAGTGTCTGCACATTGTAGCCTTTTCTTTTCTCGTTTTTTATCCCTCGATTTGATGGCAATTACCAACAAGGCAACAGAATTCAGCGTCTAATCGGAATGGATCAATGTCAACAGCCCCATCTCGTGGCTTCTTCACTCTCCAGCCTTGGTCTTCAATTAGAGCACCAAGTGCAATCAAAAATCGTAACGCTGCCCGGGGTTTTCTGGGGATTCGGGTTCTGGCGGGGTCATCAGGATCCGGAGATGACGATGCCAACGATGTGTCTATGGCCGGCACATGAATGTGTAACCATGTCTAGCACATTATTTACACAATACGCCCAAGTTAATTGGTGCCGGGGCCATCACCATCTCCACTAAGCCTCTCGCACATCAGACATATTTGTGTGCTGTTTATAAATGGATACAGGATTCCATGAGGACTGACAGGCAGGCAGACAGACAGATGGATACAGACAGTGGGGCTTTCGAGGACCTCCCGTCCCGTCAATGTGTGCGCAATTAATTATTTGTCATTGGTTTCCCCCCAATTCGTTACGTTCCCTTTTCATATCCCCCATTGAATGTCGTTTCGAGGAGCAAATTATCGTATCGGTTATAAGCTTTGGGCCATTGAGAATGGGTTTGCAGGTGTAATCAAACTCTTCGCACCTTGACAACTTATTTTCTATGATTTGATTGGATTTCTTTTAATCTTTAAATCTTAAATCTATTGACATTGAAATTAGTATAAATGCCTTAGTAATAAATTGTTTTCAATTGTTTGCAGTCCAAACAAATGATTTTTCAATAATATTTAAGACTTGCCAAAATAAAATGTGTGTATGTTTCGGAAGGTTTTAATAGATTTGACTTCAAATGATAATAAATAAAGCCTGGTAAATTAATGTTTTTCTTTTAATGGCTTTTCTCACACCTAACCGTTTATAATACTTGCGTTTTATTTCGAGTCCAGCAGCTCAATAACATACATATAAATACTAGTAAAAAGGGTCATTGTACTGGGAATGTCTAAATATTAATTTTCATGTATGTGTATGTGCTGGGCGAAGTAAGTTCTTCGTCATTTGAGCATTTCAAATTGATGATTGCTTTGTTGTACGCTTTGTGCAAACTTTTTTGCTTCTCTCAGTTTTTTTTTATATACCTATATTTTTTTGTTTTGCCAATGGACAAAGCTAACACCATTGTGTTGGCTATTAAGGGAGGTAGAGAGGCTTGGCATTCATTTTCCACTCAATATTGACCAAGCCAAAATATTTGGATGCTTTCTCTGCTTTTTTTGTTTGCCGTTGGTCTCCCCTCCCAATTTTCCCTCCTTCAATTTTCGCCTCTCTCCTCGATTTTTTCGACTATTTTCACAGAAAGTTCGTTGTCCTGCTGGAAATAAAAAAAAACAGATGAAGGAAAAAAAGTCGCCTGGAATTCCCTTCAAATTTTCCTATGAATTTATGCTACAGTTATGGTTCTGTTTTGGTTTTCCATGTTGTTGGTG